TTATTCGAAGGGAATCATGATTTAAACTTTGTTATAATCATAATTAAATAGCATTAGATTCATCGGTGTAATATCATTTTCGTCTAATGANAAAGTATATGATGATCTTTTATCATCAAAACCACCATTCTTAGATCACCAGAACCACGGTCTCTCTCTCTTTTTTGAAAAAAAAAAAAAAATTCTAAATACCATAGCTGACTTAGGAAAAACACTTAATCTTATTGCTTTGAACTTTTTATTTGTAAATTAACTAAAAATTTTAAAAAATTGAAGCATAAGTTTTAAAAATATATATATTTTGTAAATTAATAAATACGAAATCAAAAATTTAAATATTTTGCAAAGTAAAAATATAAAAATTGAAAAAAAAAACTTTTTAAAATATGTTTTTAATGTAATACGTCTATTTTGCCCTTATCTCAATTAACTTTAACAAAAAATTTGTCATTTTTTTTATTTTTTTATTTTTTTATGTTTGAGTGGGTGTAAGGAAAATAATGTTAACACAGCCTTAACAGAAGTTAAAAAAGTGGGGTGTTTGTATTAACCTAAAAATCTTTTCTATGCGCTTGTGAAATGTTAAAACCTTAGGGGAGGTCCGTGTAATTAACTCTACTTTTCTATCTTCTTCACCCGTCACAACAGCCTAGGGGTATTCAGTTCCGAGTACCCTACACTTTTTGAAGGAACCAGAACCGGAACCGACAGTTCCTTGAAATTTGGAACCAAAACCGGAACCGATGGTTCCGGTTCCTAGGTACCCAGAACCAGAACCTGTAACAATGGTTCTGGTTTCGGTTCTGGGTACCCTATAAAATTCATTGACCCCCAAAAGTTTTTAAAATGGTAAAAAAACCCTTAAAAACTTACAAATACCCCCCCACCTGGCACTTGTTAACAAAAATAAAATTACAAATTATAAATTCAAAATGACAAACTCCATTACTTTGTAAAGGTAGATTCTCAAAAGTCAAACCAACTTACTTTAAATGTTATGAAATATAAATATAAATATAAATATATTCACATTACTTTTTCTACAAAAGTTTTTATTAACCCCCCTAATATTTAATTTTATTTTATATTAGTCTCGGTTCCTGGTTCCTAGTTTCGGTTCCGGTTCTTAACTATAGGAACCGGAACCATACAGTAACGGTTCCAAAAATTTCGAATCGGAACCTACCCATTGACGATTGGTTCTGGATAAGAACCGGAACCAAACCCAGGGTACCTGTCGGTTCCCGTTCCAACCGGTTCTTTTGAATACCCCTACAATAGCCCAACCGAAAGGAAGAAATTATGGTAAGAGGGAAGACTTTAAGGAGCTTCTGTGGTTAATCACCATTTAGCCATTATGTAATTAGAGACGTCATTAAACCACATCGTTTTGATGCAAGTACATTCAACAAAATAAATTCATTTTAATAGTTGTAATATTTTGCAACATCTCGGAAAACAAAAAAAAAAAAAAAAAAAGAAAGTGAAACTCTTATTCGAAGGGAATCATGATTTAAACTTTGTTATAATCATAATTAAATAGCATTAGATTCATCGGTGTAATATCATTTTCGTCTAATGAAATGAATTTGATGATGTTTCAATATAATTATAATAAAGTTTATATCATAATAATCTATTGCTCCAATTCGTTTTTCTTTTTATGTAAATTATAACAAAAATTATGAATCATCGAATGAGAGAATTGTGAATGGTTTAAATTTTTAAATTTAGATGCTAATTAATTACTTTATAGTGATGCAAATTGTATAAAATCTTAACCACAAAAAGAGTTTTACCTTTTCAGAGGAAAATGATAAATCATGATATTTTATAAAATATGAAAAGAATTTTTAAAAGACTAATAATATAAAATGAGTAAGCACTTACAAACATAAAATAAGAAAGAAATTAACTCAATTTTTTCATGTTGTTATTTGTAATAGGGAAATCATGATAATAATAATTATTTATTTATTTTTTTTTTTTTAAGTGTGAGTAGAAAATAATATATATGTTAACATCTTAAGAATGGACAACAATTGATTAGATAAAGTTTGTTTTGTTTTAGGAATACTGTCGGATCTTATCGGATAGAGTCTTGAAACAAAACAAACTTTATCCAATAGAAACCCATGACTCTATTGGAATCGCTCTAATTTATGATATATTTTCTAAAATAGGCTATTTTTTTATTTGAGTTCCCAATAATAAGTTATTTAATATAATTTGCCGTTATAATATGTGTCTTAAATTTCACAAATCCATTTGTGATAATTTACATGTTATTAATGGCTTAATAATTAGAAATAATATGTATTTTATATATGAATATCCTTTCAAAATACAACCCCCATTAATAAGCTACTCAATAGCTTGGGTGGCACAGTCTTAGCCAGAGTTAAGTTACATCAACTTAAGGGTGTATTTGGTTGGGGGTTATGTGAGAATTGAGATTATTCCAGTAATATCATCTTATATTACTTTTGGTTGGAAAACAATATAAGATTTTGGTAATCTTTCAAAATTAATAGTAATCACTGTTGGTTATATATGGGGTAATCTGAACACTACCATTTCTTTAGGTATTCCGGAATTACTTGATAATCTTATTTTTGTTACAATTTTATCCCTAAGAGAGCGTTTGATTCACATAATATTTTATTATAGGGGTAGGTTATATTAATGAAAAGATAGATCACTTTGAAAATTACTGGGAATGTTTAAGGAAATATGTTTGGTTGCTTCAAATAAATTAGTGAGTATGTTATATTTATATGTTTGGTTGGGAGGATAAGTGGGGTGGATATTTTTATGTAGATTACTAAATTGCCCTTTTTTTTAATTATTAGTATAATAATTTTCTATTATTACTTTTTAAATTATTTCTTTTAGCCCCCTATATTTGAAATTTTGTTAAAACACCCCATCCATTTAAAACTTTAATTTATAGCAAAATCACCCTCACCCATCTCAAGCCACTACCGACAACCAACCACCACCATCGGCAGTTGTCGGCAGTTGTCATAATGGCGCACGACTAATGAAATCTGGTAGGTCGTGCGTCGGTAAGTCCGTTTCTGGCCAGATTTGGCCATTTTTATGGCCGTTTCGCAGCCAAAGATGTGGCTATGAAACAGTGACCATTTCATGGCGAGTCTTGACCAATTTGAAAGATCATTTGATGTAGTTGAAATAACAAAATTTTGGGTTGTTTGATCACGTAAGGAAAACTCAATGGAATTCATAATTGTCTCAATGTTATTATTATTATTATTTTGTTATTATCTGAATATTCATAAACTAAGACCACTCCAACGCTCCTTTTCGCCACGCATAAACTGAACCAACAATTAGGATAAGCATTAAAATGAAAGCTTCTATAAATACGGATACCCCCAATATAGCTGATATGTGGCCATTTCATAGTCACATCATTGACAGTGAAACGGCCATAGAAATGACTAGATTTGGCTGTTTCTGGCCATGGATTTGGAATTGGCCTTACCAAAGCATGACCGGCTAGATCCCATTGATCGTGCGCCATTATGGCGACTATCGCCGGCAGTGGTCTTGGGTGGCTGAGGGTATTTTGTTAATTTTTAAACTTTTTTATGACTGAGATGTTTTAGCTAAATTCTGGGCCTGAGTAATGGTTGTTTGGCAGGCATTTGAGGCAATTACGTTCGAAATGGTATTTAATTAAGACAAAATAGGTATAAAAATCAGATTACCTCAATAATATTTTAATAACACCATATTACAAATAGGAAACACTATATTTGCAATAGAAGATACCCATAATATTTTATTACTTACAAACTAAACAATGGAATCTTGCAAAATAAACGAAGATTATCCCCATTATATTATATGACCCTGAACCAAAAGGACCCTAACTATTAAAACTTTTGGAGAAGAATGCCCTTGTTTTGGAAACAATTTACAAGAATATTCATAGACTATTTTAACTTTATACACAAAATTTTGGACAAGAATGACTTTGTATTGAAAACAATTTACAAGAATGTCGGACTTGGCCACCATCGCCCGCTTGAATGGTGCACGACTGGCTGGATTTGGCCAACAGTGCGTCGATCTGGTTCAAAAACGACCAGATTGCCGTGGATCTGGTTGTTAACAACGATTAGAGTTTTGGTTGTTAACAACGACCACAATCTGGTAGTAGATCTGGCCGTCTCCAGCTTGATCAACTCACAACCGACCATATCCTATCGGTCGTGCGCTATTTAGGCGACTGTCAACTGCCGATCGATAGTTGTGGCCGATGGCTGGCTGTCCTCTAGGTGGTTGGGGTGTTTTTGTTAATTCTTAAACTTTTATTGTCGAGGTGTTTAGCTAAATTCTCAAATATAAGGGGTTAAAAAAATGATTTAAATAATAATAATATAATAATAACATTAAAAATGAAGGGCAATTCAGTAATTTATATAACATATCCACTAGTTTACTCATTCCAACCAAACATATCAATATACATATCTACTAATTTATTCCAATATAACCAAACATATTTGTATAACATTCATAGTAATTTTCAAAGTAATTTATCTTTCCATTAATATAACATTCCAGACTTCCAGTAATACAACATTTATTAAACCAAAAGCCCTCTAAACATTTAACGTGATGTTTTGATATCAATATTAATTAATTTAAATTTAATTACTTTCACTTTCTCTCTTAAATCCATTTCTATTTTGTATTAGTGGTATAAAGGTTATAAGATGAAATTTTATAATTTTTGAGATTCGAAAAATAATTTGCAATGTAAAAAAATTTGATAGAAATTTTGTATGTTAGATATTTTATATTTTATTCCTATGGCAATTTAAAAAAAAAAAAAAAAAAATTAAAAACAATGTAAATAAAATTTTAATTTATCTGAAAAACACCAAGGGCATTTTCGTAATCTTGCTACAGTCTGGGCATAGGTAAATAGCACGTAAACAGAATCAGAAACACCCAGAAAATCTAAGTTGCCAAAACGACGCTACTTGGGATCGTTTCTCAGCCAAAGGTGACAAATTTCTCTCTGCAAAACCCTGATTTTCTCATTTTCATTGATCCCTCAGAACCTTGATCTCCTTTCTATTCTTGAAATTAAAAATCCTAATATTTAGTTACTATAAAGATTTTCCATCGTTGTACATTGAATTTTCCTGCACTTTCTTGTTAGGGGAAAAGTTTCTTTTTGTTTCTTGGGAAACCCTTGTCCGTTTTATGTTGAATAACGGTCAGATGTGGTGAAGATCACATTTGTAGGGGTTTTCTTGATCTGGGTATTTGAATTTGGACGCTTCTGAATTGGGGTTTTCTTATATTTGAACTTTATGATTGTTCTAGCCTTGATGGAGCTATAGTTTGTGTTTAATATTGTTGATTAAATTTAGCTAGATTTAGGTGTTGGAGAAAAGTGGGGATTTTTAAGTGAGAAATTGAAGAAGAAAAGGGTTTTGTATAAATGGGGAGGCCATTGTTTTATGAGATTGTGGAGAAGCCAGCCACAAGTTGTATAATTGGAATATGTAGTGCAATATGGTTTTATATACAGAAGAAAAATATAGGGTATTCACATGTCGGTTTGAGTTATGAAACAGCTGTAGAAGGGCACCATTGGAGGATAATTACATCGGCATTTTCACATATAAGTGTTTTGCATCTTGTTTTCAATATGAGTGCACTTTGGAGTCTTGGTGTTGTAGAGCAATTGGGGCACATGGGTCTTGGTGTGGCATATTATCTTCAGTACACACTTATTTTGGTTGTGTTATCTGGGGCGCTTGTCTTGGGAATGTACCATATATTGATACAAAGATTTAAGCTTGAGTATTTTAGAAGAGTGACGGCTGTTGGGTACTCTTGTGTTGTTTTCGGGTGGATGACGATTCTTTCTGTGAAACAACCCTCTTCAAAGTTGGATCTCTTTGGATTTCTTTCACTACCCATCAGTTTTGCGCCATTCGAGTCGTTGATTTTCACTTCTATTATTGTTCCGCAAGCCAGTTTTCTTGGGCATTTGTCGGGAATCGTTGTTGGGTATGCAATAGCTTGGGGTTTGATTCATGGGATGAATAATTTCTGGGCACTTTCTATGTTGGGTTGGATTGTGCTTGTGTTTGTGTACAGCTTGAAGCGGTCTGGTACATATGATTTTGATTTTCTTGAGATAGAATCTGTCACAGATCCATCCTTGCCTTCTGTCCGGTTTATTGGAAATGGTAGAACCTTGCAGATGAGTTCAATTCCAGCTGAAGGTGTTGAAATTGTCTAACTTTAGGGTCAATTTCTTACTCTTATATCTAGAAGTCGTCTTACTCATTCAACAGTCAGCCTTGATGATAATATATGATTTTACTATGCCAAGCTAGATGGTTAGCCTTGACATTACTGAGATGTTCCTGGTTGTATATGTCCAGATTTTCTGCTCTCTTCTGCTATGGTTATACAAGCTTTCTGGTGCGACTTTTTGCTTCTTCCATTGGCAGACGCATGCTGTTGCCCCAAAACAATGCAATATGAGAAATTACTGGTCTTCATTGTTCTTTTCTTTGTTTAGTTGCAAATTTGTTTTCTCTAATATTTTTTAATTTTTTAGTATTAATCTTTTAGTTCTGATTATTTGTTGTCTACAGACTGTACCTCCATTTTTTCAAAGAAATGATAAAATGAGTTTGTTTAAATTTAACATGGCGCAATACAGATGTGGAAATGATATGTTATCACAGATTGTTTTTTGACTTTTCCTTTCATATTTTAGCCTTTTTTTTTCCTGAAATTGAATTGGATTATTGTTGAAGCACGCTTGCAGTGATGCTGGGTGTAGTTGCTGATGCTGTTGTATTTTTTTGTCATAAATAATGAAGATACATGTGCTCTATTTAGGTGACAAAATGTTTTTGGACTTTTGTTCTCTTATTTACATGGTCCTGCTGTAATGATTTGGATTTGATCAATCCATTACACATTACCCATTACATTGTCAATCTCCAGCTAGTGCTTGAAGAAAAAGTTTCCAGTTAGGTTTTTAAGCATGCTATTTTTGGTTGATTCTTCACTTTGCATTGTCACTTGATGTTTGATGGCTGCTTTTGTGCATTACTGAATAGTCTTTAGGTATATGTCACTTCTTGTAAAATGTCGAAGGGATTATTCCATCGCTAACTTTGGTTTGTGGAATGTCTGTCAAATGCTTTAAGGTTTAACTTCAATCATACTTGAGACTGGGAATTGATGACACTTATTAAAGGACAGCCTTTGAAGACTAGTTGTGTTCATAAAAACTGCCTTACCCTGAATTAACTCTATTGTGCCTCAGGTGTTTGTACATTTGGCTTCTGTGTTGGCTCATTTCCTGCAACTTAGTTTCCAAATGTAGTTCGTACTAATGCCAAATATCTGGACAACACGTATCGACTTTCATCTAGTCGAAAATACCAACTAAACTAGTGTGACTGAGGTTCATCGAAGTCCAAATCGGTGTCTTAACAGATAAGTTCATGGTTTACATCTCATAAAATTTGTGGTAGGGTACTCTGTTCTGTTTCTGGCAATTTTTTCTGGTTTCATTATATACTACTTACAGGCATAGAGGCTTAGCCAGAGAGAGAAAATGGGATAAATTTTGCTGGAAATTTGGGTGTATGACATTTAGTTCTCCACAAGATGTTGGTGAAATCCCCACAAAGGATTGATTTATTCACAGAAGATTTGTTTGCAGATCAGGCATCTAATTCTGTTTCACAAATTTTCTCGATCGTATTTGTTTCTTTGCAGGCTGTTTTCGCATTTTCCATCGAAGAATAAACCATAGTTACAAGTTCATCAGGGAGCTCGCTTTGCATTAGCATATTGTTATCTTTCTGCAAATTGTCATCTAAATCTTAAGATAGGCATATCGTATAATCTATAAATCTCCATGTTCAGTTAATAATATTTTATTATATATATGTTTGTTTTATCTTTTGGTCGCCTTACCATTATCAATCTTTAATGTGAATGTATAAACAAGAAGATTTTAAAAGATAAGCGAACAAATGACGTGATATATCCGTCGAGCAAATGACATGATATATCCGTCCATATTATTTTCATTTTCTTAGTCTTGAAAATCACGAAATTCAGTTAGGTAACATTTTCAATAAATGGGTGTGAAGGGAAGGAAGAAAACAGTGAGGAGATGTAATGTAATTCCCATCATTTATATGAAAACTTAAAACAATAAAGAGTAACCTGTCTTACAAATTCTCTCTCCAAATCTATGTAATAACTTACAATTAGTCAAAGCCAAAAAATTCTTCAAAAACCAATATGTGAGAAAGTTAATAAGATTAAATTATAAGTGTAATATGTTCCAATTTAAAATTATGAATGAAAAGCAATTTATTTTCTATTAATTTTTATAAGTTTTCTTAACTCTCTTCAAACAAAAACTTTTCTTCTAAATCCAAATTTTTAACACAAAATTATAAATAAAAATAATAATTGATATACTTAGGATTTTGGAGACAAATAAAAAAAGTAGTACTTTAAAAGGGTTTTATTGATTGTGTATGCGACCAATTTCGTATTTTTTATTATTATTATATAATTTTTTGCGTTTTCAGACAAACATGCCAAACACATTTTCATTTTTTACATTTTTTTTTAATATTTTTAATATTCTCAAAAATTCAAAAAACAAAGACACAAAATTTATAGAAGAACTCTCCCTAAATGTTCACATCAGCAAACAGGTGAGAAATGGAAGAGAGAGAAAAATAAATAAATAAAAAATAACTCCACATTAATGATTGATACCTATACAATGATGATTTGTAGAAACTTAACCTGTATTTATCATTGTAATAGCAGTGGGATATATATTTTTCAGCCATGGAGAGAATCTAGCTCAAAACCCTGAACTTCTGCTGCTTTTATCCAACAGAACAGAAATCCAAAGATGTGGAATCAACAAACTCTACTTACATGAAACTTGGTACTAGACTTCACATATACTCCGCATATCTTATATAAACAGTATGAAATGATAAAAATCTAATAACTAAGCAATGATAAATTAAGAATAGTAGGCATTGCTAGGAATCAAGTTGTTGATGCTGTAATTAATATATGCTCGTAACATCAACAAATCCGCAACAAATAAATCAATCGTCCCCAACAGCAAGAAATGCGCTGTTGTCAGGAATACCGGTTGATCTGCAAAGACAAAATAATGACATGAATTATAACGGTCGATGAAATGAAGCAAAACCCATGCAGAAATATGAACACAGTTGCCAAGAGCTATAATTCAGTGATCAATTATCTATATAACTTCAAAACAATCAAGGTTAACGATAAAAAGGAAAAGAAATATTAAGGGAAGTTTCTTTAACCTTTAATAAGCAATACAAAGCATATTTAAAATTAAGACTAACAGGCTTCTTTAAGATAGCATAAACCATGTTTGAACTAATGAGAAAGTGCATAGTGAACCTTAACGTTGCTAATCCATATGTAAAATTTAAAAAAAATACTTGCATTTGAAGCGGGTAAGCATGGGAAGAAGTTGAATATGGGAAAAACTTTTGGCTGCCAAAGTAGTTTTTATGTTGTTGAAAAGGGAAATGGTATGAAAAGCATCAGGAAGCCAGAGCTGACAATACATTTTGGTGAAACAACAGTAGAGGAAGAAATTGCTCATTAAATACAGAGGCAAAGGTTACACAAAGGCTAGAGAGAGAGAGAGAGAGAGAGAGAGAGAGAGAGAGAGATGATATTCACTGAGTCTCACAAGAAACGTGAGGGTCGTGATTTTCCCAGACAACAATGTCAGGTGAACGGTGTATCTCAATTTAAAAGAGGAATTCATGGTTGATATATACTGATGAACTTGCACAAGAATTAAATAAAACAACCAGTTTATTTCGAATATAGCCTTCTGTTGAAAATGGATGCCAGATTTCAAACATCTAAAGAATGTCATAAAAAAAATATAATAGTCTCTGCTGCCAGCAACAATAATGTTATTTGTCTTTTCAATATTTCTGTTAGCTTCCCTTTCCATATTGATGTATGGACCAGAGCACCAACCTTATCTTGGTCAAAGTTTAATATATGATCACGGAATGAAACACTTACCATTTCATAGTGGCTTCACCTTCTTTATGATTGACAACTCCATTAACATGAACTGAGTCAGGGGAACTTTCTTGAGCTCCGGGATGCAGAAGCTGAGAAAATCCCTGCCCAAGTGACTTCCATAAACGTGTTGGCAGAGACGACTGCAAGTTATCACTTCCTCCATCTAACCCTGGTTCTACCAGCTGAGCTGAAGCAGGGTTCAGCTCAGAAAATCTGAAAGCTCCTAATAGTTGTTCCGGAAGCTCTGCTTCAGTTTGGCTCTCAATGAGGAAAGCCAGGTCAACAGTCAATGTCGTGATATAACCAAATGCTAGATGAACTATAGCATTAGCCACCATGGAAGATCCAATATCCATATCTACTTCTAAGAAATTCTCCCCTACAGAGTACTTACATGAAATAGCACGCCCAATTATGCATATAGCCTGCTCCCCAACTGCTTTTCTCACAATCCAAGGACCTTGGACAATGTTGGCAATCAGTTTAAGCCTTGAATTTCTAAAGTTGTCATCCCCTTTAATGAACTGGTCCATCAAAGATCCCTCTGGGACTGGTTTTGTGGCCACAAAGTAAGCAATGGCACTATAATTATCTTTACTTGGGACTTGTAGATTGAAAGCCCAAACAAAAGGCTTATCACCATCTGGAAACTCAAGTGCAATAGCCTTCCCAACACGGTTATTCCGATGTTTTAAGACCTCCCCAATTTTTGTAGAACTTTTAATCCAATCAAATCCAATAGGCTTTAAAAGATACTCACCAGCAGGGATTTTAACCTTGTTGGAAAAGTACTCTGGACCTCTTACCATAAACCTGTTACCTGGTGGAGATGCCCAACCATTTGTACATTTTTCTGGGTCAAGATGTGGAACAGCTCCCCCTGATTTTACTCTCTCTATCCATTCAGGGTCATTTCCGCTTTCAGAACCAGCCATGTGATGCCCTGTTTCGCATTAATAACTCAGAGAATCATAAGAGTGAATTAGATAGAAGGAAGATATGAGCTGGTAACTGAATTTTAGGGTTACACTCTAGTTATGTTTGACAAACAACATAAATATCGCATAGCTTAGCCTTACAAACAGTGACTCTTACATAAAGATGCCTAGGTACTAAAAATAAATAATTATACTAATTATTTGTTTTTTAATTGACCAAACAATAAGAATACACAACACACTATGGTTTAACAAACTGTAGCATCCTAATAGCTTCATTCTAGCCAAAAAAAAAAGTCCAAACCAGCAGAGCTAATTTATCAAAGAAAAACCTAAATGAATTCCTTATTAGCCACAGTCCCTATCAAGAAATCCACCTGCCAAAAACAGCCTCCATTCAAAACACCAGATTTGTTTAGGTAAATAGATTAGATATACCACAAAGGAATATCTACCATGCACCACACTACTCCAAATTTCCAATCTACAATCCTAAGCTTGGGAACTAGCCAAGGCAAGCTTTTCGAGTTTCTTGTAACAAACAATTATGAGCTGGTCAGATGCATAAAGCTCACTGAGCCTCAAATGAACTCAAAGCTGAAAAGAGGATCACAATATAGATCAAGGCAATCAGTCCTAAGTAGAACGACTCTTCCAATTCTAGTAACATTCATAACATTATCGCGTTGTTAGCATTTCGCAACCCAAAATCATAATCCCTAAGATTAAAATAGAAAAAAAAAAAGTCACCAATATGCAATAAAACCATAAAACAAAAATAACTACCACAGTTTCCGTATATAGTAGTTCGAGGTATTCAATCATCAACTCATAAGCATCATATCAAGCCTTAACAACAAAGGAATCATAATCCTTCATTGATTAGAAACCTTAAAAACAAATCAAATGCACACAAGAATAAACCACTTAAAACATTTAATTAATTTTTTGGCATAACAAATCACATAAGACTCATGAAAAAATATATATATGTATATATTTTTCTCCATAAGAAAACGTTCCTCCAAAACAAATTAGGTTTTCAAAAATCTCTTATACAAACCAAAATTGATGATTACAATCAACAATCATCAATTCAATAAATACCCTTTACAATTCAAACAACAAACATCTCAAAAAACCCTAAATTGACAGCTGAATTTACAGTCCACTAACTAGAACACGATCAAAATACCCGCTTAAAACAAAATTAAATATTTTTCAAACACAAAGCAAATAAATTAAAATTAACAATCAATTGCAGGAAAAAAAGAAAAAAGAAAACCTCACCTTGACGTGTAGAGCAGATATCTCAGCAATGAAGACTGGTAAAAAGCATCAATCACGGAGATTATAAGAACCCGAACAAGGGGTTTTTCTTTTCTTTTTTTAATTTTTCTTTTCTCTTTGTTTGTTTCACAAAAAAGCAAAACAACATTCCCTTCTTGTTTTGTATTTTGTTTTATCATTAAAATTTAATTTTTATGGGGTTTGAGTATAAAGGGAAGCAAATGAGAAATTGACACGTGGATAAGCATAACTTTCTCTAACTGGAAAGTCGGCCGTGTTAGCTTTAAACTGTTTTGACCCATTATGCAAGAAATTCAGATTTCAGACTATTCAGTTTGCCTTTGAAAGATTTCACAGTAATGTTACCGTTGCTGATACTGATCCGCCGTCACCATTCCTGTCACCGTGACTCATTAACAATAAACCGCCGATGGTTAGTAATAGCATTGTTATTAAACTAGTAACATAATGGTTTCCATATTAGTATTGTCTCGATATTAAAGATTTGTTAAATAACCTCTTCCTTTGTTGTTGGATGACAAACCCTTTAATTATCAGGGTTAACTATATTTAAAATATTTCGTTCTTGAGTTATAGAAGAAGCATCTATCATATTTGTGTAATTATTTTGATCCATTAGATTTGTAAGGTATTCTGTGACCTTGAAGATTAGACAAACTCTAATGTAACGTGGATACCCCGTATACTTAAAAAAAAGATTTGTTAAATCATCCAATTAACAATAGAGTCATACAAAATGTTTAATTGTTATTACCGGGTATTGATCTCGTTGCCGTTATTGTTATCGTTAGTGTCACTCACTAATAGTAAATTCGAGTAACAACTTTATCAAACCAATAAATAGTATTTCTATTAAACTAGTAACATAATAATAGTTTCGTATTAATAATGTCTCGTGATTAGAGATGTGTTAAATTATTTAACTCCTAAACAAGGTCACAAGAAATGTTTAATTCTTAATACTATTAATTGGAACATTATCAAATTAAGAATTTTACCCTTAGGATAATTTGATGAAAATCTAACATAAATTTTGGTTATTATCTGAATGGAATGGTTCTGAGATTGTATTGAATGTGCAGGGAGTGGTGGGTTGCTACTCTTCTTGTCAGTGTTGATGGCGATTTCCCAGTGATGCAAGAAAGGTAAATTTGATGATAAATACTTTTGACTCATTGGTATTGGTTCTGTTTTACATTGATTAGTTTGGTTGAGGGTCAATTGCTCATCAAGTGTTTGAGTTTAGGCTTGATTGAATTAGCTGGTGTATTGCTAGATAAGTTGTTGAAGTTTAGGTCACAAGATACACATGAACAGTTGGTGAAGTGGTTAACATTTATTAACATTTTTCGAAGAAGAAACCTCTCGATTATTTTGTTTAACTCGCTTTTAACTTAATGAAAGCTTCACGGGTTGAAAATTTAGTTTTGAAAGAAATACTTTTTATCTTTATCAAACGATGTTATATCAATATTATAAAATGATTCGTAATAAAAATAAAAACACACAATTTATTTCTCTGAATACCAAGGACATACCTATACAGTGGGGAGGAGGGGCTTCTGACCCCGTTCAAATTTTTTTTTTTTTTCATTAATTTAGCTTGGTTTTTTGTTTTGATCAGACTGTACATGTATTAATATATTCAATGAATTAACAGTACATTCCACTTTCTTTTTCCAACAGTATAATAAATTATGTGACTTAACCATCCCTTAAGTTAATTCCTGACTCCGTCCCTATTGAATAGGCATTCTTCTGACCTCATGTATGGTTAAATTCTACAAATGCCATTAATAGCTACCAAGCTGCTTGCATAAAGCAAAAAATCTGGTTTTGTTTTTCATTTTTTTTTCAGTTTTGGCTTTGCTTGGTTAGATGTGTAGTGGTTCATGCTCATTACTGCTCAAGCGCTCGTACAGCTATAAAAAATTTGCTTAGAAACATTATAATTTTAGAAAATCAACACACACTTTCTTGCATGGGGATGATAGCTAGGTAACTAGTAATTTAGCTTCTGTTACATTTCTCAATCTTATACAACAAAGAATGCAGAAAACATGACCAAAACTACAGAAAACCTAAATCCAACCACAAAGAGCTGTCATATAGAATGCATGCTAGATTGCTAGCTACCGCTCAGCCCTTAACATATGTAAGTCCAATGAAAATTCCTGAAATGCTAGACATTCTTTCTGATTAACCAAACAGCACATTACATGGAGAAGAAAAGCCTTCTCAAGGATGAAACTCTGTTGCAGCATCCATTGCTGTTGATTCTTGCTCTAGCTTTAGGATTTGTTGTAATGGACCCTCTTGACATGGGGCCTGTAGGTGGCCATGAGTTCAGGCCTGTGAAGCATGAAATTGCTCCATACAAGCAGGTGATGGAGAAGTGGCCTAGGGACAACCACAGCCGGTTGGGGGATGGGAAATTGGAGTTTGTGGATGAAGTTTTTGGCCCGGAATCATTGGAGTTTGATGGCTTTGGGCGTGGCCCTTATGCAGGATTAGCCGATGGACGCATTGTTAGATGGATGGGAGAGGATGTTGGATGGGAAACATTTGCAATTGTAACAACAAATTGGTAAGTCTTCACAAATGCACCTCTAGTGCAGACTCAAGTTTATGCCTATTTGTAGTCACTGTGAAAATTTCTAACCAAATGCTCGTAGAATATATGAATTAGAATGCATGTTCATAAACTGTTTGTTGGGTTCTATTTGGTACATTCTGATTATATTGGAAGTTCTGCACTTAAAAGGTCAGAGAAGCTGTGTGCTAGAGGAGTAGACTCAACCACAGCTAAGCAATGGAAGCACGAGAAATGGTGCGGTCGCCCGCTTGGCCTGAGATTCAACAAGGAGACTGGAGACTTGTACATAGCTGATGCTTATTATGGCCTGCTCGTAGTTGGACCTGAAGGAGGACTTGCTACTCCCTTAGCAACTCAAGTAGCAGGGAAGCCTATACTCTTTGCTAACGACCTCGACATTCACAGGAATGGATCAATCTTCTTCACAGACACTAGCAAGAGATACAACAGAGTGTAAGCATACAATATCTATAGTTCCTACCAAGCGAAATTCATAATCGGGTTAGAGCACCATTAAAGAGAGATTGTTATCATAAAGAATTTAAATTTTTACATAAAGTTTTTTCCAGTAACAATTTCTTCAATTTGTGCTTCATATTGTATATTTATGGTTATGGAGGTAGTAACGGGAACTTGTTAGCAGGAACCATTTCTTTATCTTGTTGGAAGGAGAAGCAACAGGCAGGCTTCTGAGATATGATCCTCCTACTAAAACAACTCATGTGGTCTTACATGGCTTGGCTTTTCCAAATGGAGTGCAGTTTTCTAAGGACCAATCCTTCCTGCTTTTCACTGAGACCACCAATTGCAGGTAACATTTCAATGTATCTCTTGCAGAACATGATTCATTTCTGGCAGAACGCATAATATGTTTACTTTTCATGACTCTAAAACATAATGCCTTAATTGAGACTGTCTTATCAACCAACTACAAAGAGGGTAACCGTTCCTCTATTCAATTTGTCTAAAACACATCTCACAAGCTAAGAGACGGGTAAATTTCATTCACATTAGTTTAGGTCTGATCCAAATATTACCTGCAGAATTGCCTAGTTTAGGTATTTTTGATAATTTTATGAAATTTAACACATGTGGCCAGCGTTCATCCTGAGCTAGGATTAAACTCTCCATTAGATTCATAGTTACATTAGTTATAGGTTCTTTGTCCGTAGACAAAGCTGATTTGGACTTGTCTTATCATTCCAAGGTATAACTTGTATCCATGCTTCATGTGTTCTCATAAATTTGGTGGAGGTTTTCATCAGACATTTTGATTATTAATGTTTGAAACGGCCACAGGCTAATGAAATACTGGATGGAGGGTCCAAGAGCAGGAACTGTTGAACTTGTTGCTAACCTGCCAGGTTTTCCGGACAATGTAAGAATAAATGAGAAAGGCGAATTTTGGGTGGCAATAGATTGTTGCCGGACTGCAGCACAAGAAGTTTTGACACATAATCCGTGGATTAGAAGTGTCTATTTCCGGCTACCAATCCGAATGAGCATCCTCGCGAGAATGATGGGAATGAGAATGTACACAGTCATCTCATTGTTCAATGAAAAGGGAGAAATCCTGGAAGTTCTTGAGGATCCAAAAGGAGTGGTGATGAAGCTTGTAAGTGAAGTTAAAGAGGTTCAAGGGAAGCTGTGGATTGGAACAGTGGCTCATAACCACATTGCTACACTTCCTTACCCGTAATAAATTCAGCTTCATTTTGTTGTAACAGCTGCTTCTTGGCCTGCTAAATTAGGGTTCTTGCCTTGGAATTGTGTAAAACTATGTGACGATTAAATGACATAAGGACTTGTATTTGTTGCTTTTTCTTGCTTATGAAATTGTGATACTTAGGGCTGTCATCAGGAACACTTTTGACAAAATATTAGCCCTCTAAAGTAAAGATTTGTACCAACCAGGCAACCACATGAAGTCATACATAACTTTTGGAAAATTGCAACAGGTTAGTGATTAATGAGACAACATGTCTCAAAGGGAATTGAGAAAACATCTTATGAAAACTTAGATTTTAATATTAATATATTATATTTGAGTTTTGTACAATTCAGTATTGAATCAATACATTAATTTAAAAATTATAAATTTATAACGCAGAATTTATAAGTAAAAAATGTAAAACATATGCACTTATATAATAGTTAAAGCCGTTGTATCATATGATCCTTCCATACTATATGAAATACTTCATTTTATTTATTTATTTATTTTTGATGACTAAGAGTATCCGGGTTAGCTTATGCGCATATTAACTAATCTCCTAGATCCTTGAAAGTTAGACCAAGTAATTTTTCAGTGACCCACCCCTATGAGGGCTTGGGAGAACTCAAACTCAGGAACTTGGAAAACTTCTTTTTACTTTGATTGAATAGAATTGTCACCAGTATGAACATAACCACCCCTATATGCAGGCATTGGTTAAACACTTCATTTTTAAGGATAAGGTATAACACAATAGCCAAGGATAATTTGGTTATATGAATATGAAAAAATAAAAAATAAAATCATATTATTATAGAGTAAGCCTCCAATTATCTAATATATATATAGATTACAAGTGTCTATAGAATTCACATATTATACAGATGATGAGATGAACATATCCATTTATCGAAAAAATTTCTTATCTTATACATTAACCTCATTTTTCTAAATAAGGCGTTGTATAATAGTTAAATATTGTTTTGTTACATGTACATGAAAACAAAATCACATTAGTAATATAGAATAAAATATTCAATTAAGCATTTAATTAACATAATCAAAGAGGATTTAAATATGAGACTTTGATCAATAAATAACATGATAAGGATGAAAGGAATAGAGTAATTGAAGAGTGGAGCATGGAGGAAGAAGAAGATCAAATAACATTTCCAAATTTTGACGAGATTGGCACGTCAGTTTTGAGTCTCAGTTTTTTGGTAACTAAACAATCGTAGCAGTGACACGTAACATCATCATCATCATCATAATCTAAACAAACTCTCCACTTCAAACTCGAACGCAATTTGTTTCTTACAAATACAGTCTCTCTTTCTCTTATCGTCAGCAATTGAAATCATGTACAAGTTTCTTTCAATCTCCAGCAAATCCAACTCTTTTATTAGGCGTCACCAGACACTCAGCTCTCTTTTAAATCCATCTAACTATTTTAAAAACCAATCAGGTTCCAAGATTTCATCTGGAACTCCAAATGGGTACTCATATTATCACCCATTTAATCAAATTTTTTGTTTTTCATGGTCCCAAGGTGGTTTTAAGAGGTTTTTCTCATCTGGGTATGTGCCAAATGGGTCAAATTTAAGGAGGCTTGACGGGCGTGGAAGTGGGGTTGTGAATGGGAGGCTTTTTGTGAGAGGGTTTTGTAGTGAAAATAGTAGGGAGGCTATGGAGTATGATGTTGTGATTGTTGGGGCTGGACCTGCTGGGTTGGCTGCAGCTATAAGGTTGAAGCAGCTTTGCCGGGACAAGGATGTTGATTTTTCGGTTTGTGTTGTTGAGAAAGGTGCAGAAGTAGGTATGTTTTGGTTTTTTGAAGTTTGGTTATATGAAATTGTAGTGAGTGTTGTTTATCTTGTGACAAAGTTTATAAATATGGCTTGTTGGACCAGTGTCATATCAGTGGGATTGCAAGTTTAATTCTTTATATGGGATTGTTTTGTTTAAGCTTAGTATGTTTTATTTGCTTATCTTGTGTCAAAAGTTCTTAACATATGGCTTGTTGGAACTGTGACATATCAATAGGATTTGAAGTTTAATTTGCTCAAGTTTTTGATCATATTAACTTACCTGTCAGGACTAAAATACAGTAATAACCATTGGATTAATTTGGAAGGATACTGTCACATTAATCCAAGCCAATCTAATGGTTATTACCTATGGTGTAAAAAATTCTTTGAATTGTAAGTTCAGGTTGGAAATTGGTGCATAGGTTATAATGCACATAGCTGAAAATATGTTGGGTTAATTTACCGCACTTGAGTTTATAACTTCATTGAAATATTTGATTATCTCAGTATGTGTTTAGCATTGTATTACTAGTCAGTCTTATTCATTTCTATGCTTGATCCAGTGAATGTGAGAAGATTTCTTGTTGAAATTACCATTTGTGCGGTTAAATGCTTGGTAAAATGTTACTGTAAATAGGAAGTATTTGGGTTGACTTTTACCCAGTCATTATTTGATTTCCTGACACAAGTTAGATGAACTTATTTGTATTATTCATTTCAAAGAGTGGTGTTTTCAAGAAAACTCTGTCATTATATGTTGCAATTAAGGATGTTATGTGAAACTTCCTTTATGTCGTTCCCCTTGAAATTAATTTTGGAAAATTTAAGAAATTTCAGTCTTCAAGGTCTATGCAAAGAAATCAAAGATAAAATTAAATTCACGTTTTGAAACAAATGCATTTTTGATAAGGTATAGGTAGTATTACTAGGTTGAAGTGCTAGAAGAATTAGTTGTTATATGCAATGAACCAATGAGACTGCATTATTAAGAGTGTTATGATTTGTTTGTGGAAGCTGATGTCTAGTTAAGTGATAGCATTGGAAATAAGTAGGCACGGAAATGACAGATGCACGTCAACATAGAATGACATGGCTTTACAAAGTTTGCTTGGTGCAACTCAAATATGACTTTAAAAGGAGGGCTTCGTTTCTGTTTCATTCATTTTAACGGCTGAATTGTTCTTTGATGCTTTACCTCGTGCTTGCTTTGAGTGACTTGTAGAAGTTTGATCAAGGGTTTCATCATAGCCATTCAATTTGTATGCCTTCAATAATTACTTATTTGACTATGTATCTGGTATTAGTGCGTTCATAAATTAATGCTGGCCATCTTGTTTTTTGTTAGTTACAGAATCTGCAAGTTCAGCATAGCAGTTTAATAATCTCTGGTTACTGCCTTCATGATTTCCATGTGATTATAGGTGCTCACATCATATCTGGGAATGTTTTTGAACCCCGGGCATTGAATGAACTTCTCCCGAATTGGAAACAGGAAGAGGTGCTTGTTTACACTGTCTGCTTTCTATAGTTCTTTCATTTCTACACTGTACCGTATAATATGCATTTGACCACCATAACATTTAATGTAGTTTAGTTTATATACATGTGAGAATCACTAAATCTGGTACATGAAGATCACACGAAGCTTGCTTATTATAAATGCTGCTTAAGTTTTGTATATGAGAAAGTTAGATTCACTGTTCAGCCTTGTTAATTTGATTAAGTACATATATTGACATGCTCTTGAAGCTAATTTGAAGTCCATAATAAATATGGAATATTTACAATAGTATAGTTGGATCAAAAGTCCCCTGGTCATTATTCATGCTTTGAACTCAAAGGAATGTACATTGACTTGAGTTCTGGACATATGCTCTAATAGTTGCAAAATAAATAATAGTAATGTGGGTGCTTCATCTGTTGATAAGGAAAAATGAAGACTGTATGACCACTTGTCTTATTTTTGATTCAATGTATGGTCTTCACCGACCTTTTTGCAGGCACCAATCAGTGTCCCAGTTTCTTCTGACAAGTTTTGGTTCCTAACAAAAGACCGTGCATTTTCCCTTCCATCTCCTTTCAATAACAAAGAAAACTATGTTATAAGGTAACTAGGTCATGTATATGCTTCGAGTATACCTTTAGAAAATTCTGGTAAAATTTAAATCTTTTGCTTATTTGCTATCTCAACATTATTAATAGAAATCATGAATCTTGCATCTTTTTGATTTGTTTATTTTTTGTTAGGTACTGTTGGGACTTGAATTCTGAAGAATATACTGAATTATATAGCTGCCAATTGTGGTGTATGGAGTCATAGATTTATCTGAAAACCTGGCCAATTGTATTTTAGGCTTATCATCTATATCATGATCTTGATTTATATCTTATCAATTCAAATCATATTAGCAAATTTATTCTGGAATTCAATGCAACTTGTTCTTATGCTGTCTGTTTAATTCTGGAGTCACATGAAAAAAAGTGTGATTCTGGATTTAGAAAGTAGGTTGAAGTATGACGCTTAAACTCTGCTATTCCTTTTCCCCTTTCTAACAAAGCTGGTTTGTAAAAAAATTTTATTAAAGAAATTGAAGTTGTGAGCATCTTCATCTCTCAAAAACCTTTCTTGTTAAAATGAGAACTTGATGAGCCATTCTGCTTACATGTTTTGCTTTATTATTCCCCCCCGCTTGTTTTCTTATAATATCTGCTTTATTTTGCAACTCCTCTTTGCCTTGAGCAGTCAGATTATGGCAACAATCTTGATTTCTGCGTCTTATTATGCAGCTTAAGTCAGTTAACGCGTTGGATGGGAGTGAAAGCTGAAGAATTAGGCGTAGAGATATATCCAGGCTTTGCTGCCAGTGAGGTAGTCCTACTTCGCCCTTTCATTGATGCTCAATATGAAATTGGATGTTTACCTGACAAGTTATTATAATTGTTCAGATCCTGTACGATGCAAACAACAATGTTATCGGCATTGCAACTAATGATATGGGAATTGCCAAAGATGGTTACAAAAAGGATACTTTTCAGTGTGGTGTAGAATTAAGAGGCAGGTTTCTCTCTCTTTCTCTCACACACAGAGAGGTTCATTTCTTTATGTTATCTTCAAGCTGGTGTAGCATCCTGTTTTTCCCTCTCCACCTAATAAAGTTACATAAATGCTGCCATTGTATGATGGTATTGTGTCAAACTCGTCATGCAATTTGATATGTTATTGTGAGTACGAGTTTGAGCTGTATCTGTCTCAAGATTGAGGTTCTACATGAGTCATCATTGACTCAAATGTGAGAGGTGGAAAAATCCAAGAATCTTTTTGACTATGTTGTATGTGCCCTTTTTTTGGTGATGTTCCAAGAATGAAACAAGCAAATTATTGAGGAAGATAGTGAAGATAACAGTGATGGGTTGTGAGATAGGCTTAGGCTTCTTGACTTTTGGCCTTCTTCTCCAGGGAATTCTAGGACTATTCTTTCTTCATGGGCTTCTAGAAAATTAATTCTTTAGCTGGAGTTCTGTTTGTTTATTCAATGATTTTTTTTTTCTTTTTTTTATTTCCTCTGGTTTATAGCAGATATATTTTATGCTATTTACTGTTTTTGTATAGTGTTTGTTTCCTTCATAGATTCTATGTTTTGTATGGACATCCAGTCCATTTCATACTTTTAATTCCTATTAAAAAGAAGAAAAAATCATTGACTTAAGGGAATGCCTTATTTCACTAGATTTGGTTAAAATAGCTTCCTTATAGATGAATCTTTTTCTAATAACAATGTGTTAATAATTTGCAGGTCGGATAACACTTCTAGCTGAAGGATGTCGAGGATCGTTATCTGAGGTATGTAGAAAAAAGCTTATTGCTGCAGTAGCTGCCATAACGTTCTCAATTTCCAATCTTTGATGCTCAACCTTTACGTTAACAACCACCAGTTACTTCAATTTCTTTGAAACAGAAAATAATTAAAAATTACAAACTGAGAGAGAAGAGCCATGCGCAACATCAGACTTATGCTTTGGGAATTAAAGAGGTAATCTACAATTGATATGAATTTCATGATTCCCTGGGCTTGACTATATAGGGTTTTAATATATAGTTATTTTGAACTCTTGATACCCTATTACAACATGTCTTTGTTGGTTCATAAGATTTTAACTAATCACATGTGCCATCTATCATAATTCACTTTTGCTAGCTACATACTCCTGGTGTGTGTGGATACATTGATGAGTTAATAATGATGTTGCTTGTTTCTTTTGTCATGCTTGATTATCAGCAGCCTTTACATTTTCCATTCCGAACTTATTATGTATCTATATAACTATAATAGCATTTCTTTCCTGTATTATACTTTAATAATTTTCTTTTTCTTAATTTTGTGTTACTACTCGAAAGAGAAAGGTTCTTATATAGAGAGTTAGAGCAAGTCAACTGTGGAGGTGGCCTTTTTGTGTGTGTTTTGTCCTCTTTTAAGTTCTTTGGTCTTCAAGTTATCTTACTGATTATAAGTTTGCAAGTTTTATCAGACTCCTACACAAAGTAACTTTCAGAAATTCTCTGTGCTGTGTTTGATCAGGTTTGGGAGATTGATGAGAGCAAGCACAAACCTGGTACGGTTATTCACACATTGGGTTGGCCCTTGGATCACAAGACATATGGGGGATCGTTTCTGTACCACATGAATGATAGACAGGTATTTGTTATCGTTTTCCTTTCCAATTGATTTTTCCTTGGACGCCATTGATTGTTAATTGCCATACCACTTTCACCACCAAAGTCGTTATTGCTATCATTATGAAATTCAGAGATCCTTTTTTCATTTTATTTTTTTATTTTCAAATCTCTTGCTATCAGGTGAAAAAAAAGTAGAATTAAAAAAGAGAATAGGTAATTTTTCAAGTGATTATTCAACCATGTCAGCATTTTGATAGAATCAATTTCTCACATCTTGGAAGATCAATATTTTATGCTTTTCTTGGTGTTCTTAAAATAATTCTGGCTTTCAATTTTTAAAGCCTTATTATTGACAGGTATCATTATACAAGCCTTTTGTTGCAATAGCTTATTTGTTATTTTGTTGCTTTGGTTGAGCATACAGATTGCACTTGGCCTAGTGGTTGCTTTGAATTATCACAATCCATTCTTGAGTCCTTATCACGAATTTCAGGTGAACTAGATCTCTAAATCTTTCGTGAATATACTTAATGCATTTTCCTGCAGTTTTTGATTTTTGGTGCATGTTTTTGTGGTTTTGAATTCTTATGTCTTAATATAACTGAATCTAACTGTTTCAGAAAAGCATCTGTCTTTCCTCTTATCTGTTCCAGAAGTGTACGGTCAACCAAAGGCCACCTTTAAATTGGTCCTTACCTTATTGACCACAACTTCTATATAAAATATTCCCTTGATTGCGGCAAACCATATAGTTTGGTTGGGGCCTATTGAACTATCTCTGCATAAGTAGGATATTGAACTGGTGACTTTCTTGCAACTCTATCACAGAAGTTAGTGAAGGTTTTAATCATCTTATGTTTCAATAACATTTTTGTCAGAGAAAAAGGTTGTTTATGTCAGTGTTGTACACTTAAGCTTCTTTTGCCCAATAGAAAGAGGATTCTAGAGGTATGACTTAGCAGGAAGCATTAGACTGATAACAACAAAGTTGAAAACCTATTTATTGAGAATTTTTATGCATAAGATGATTAAGACTGATAAATCCAGCCTATTTTGTGGAAAGTGCAGTTGAAAAAAAGGACTTGCCCTTTAAAACTTTTTGAAAGGAGTTAAGAGTATTTCAAGTGCTTTTTGTTTATTTTCCCTGCTACCTTTGGTTGATAAATCAAAGTTTCCTAGAACTTGATGTGTATCTATAGCCTTCTTCATCACTCATCTGTGAAGCATAATTATTTGGAATCTGACTCAGTTTATTGTATTGGTTTTTCATCTGATAGAAACTTAAACACCATTCAGCCATTAAACAGCTTCTGGAAGGTGGGACTGTGATTCAATACGGAGCTTGCACTTTAAATGAAGGCGGCTTTCAGGTAAATTAGTCATCTATCCTTTTCCAACCATCTGTACTGGAAATGCTCCCCTGAATAAACAAAAACCTAAATATTTATCTACTTGAATTCTAATATGGTCTCATGCAAGAATGATGCATCACCAATTTTTATGGAAATGGTACTAATTGGTTGGAAAAGGGAGAATGCAATAAATGTGTATATAGATTCTGCCTATAATTTTCAACCTTAGGCAGATGCAGGTTAGGAGCTTTATTTGCATTCTCTCAATATGATTGTTGTTTTTATTATATATAGCATACATGTTATACATATAAGAATATGATTCTAGTTAAATTTCAGTCTATTCCATATCCAGTTTTCCCTGGAGGAGCAATTATTGGATGTTCAGCCGGCTTTTTAAATGTACCAAAAATAAAGGGAACTCATACTGCAATGAAATCAGGTAACTACTCACAGGAATCTTTGGCTGTACAGCCTTAGCTTGAACATGCGAATATGAGTACATTGAATTAATTTAAACATGTTATAGTGCAAACTTGACAGTTATGTTAGGTTCTTTTTATCTAGATATTTTAAACTGAACATGGTTATTTAATGATCACTAATGTTATGTGTTTCTTCTTCTTTATAACATATCAGGTCACTTTGTCCTTTAATTAGTCTTTTTCTTGCTTTTCCTAAATACTTGCAATGAATTGAGAAATATTTAAAAAAAATGGTTGTCTTCCACTTGATAGAATTATAATAATTAGAAAATGATGGTAGGTTTTTTCAAATAACCTATCATAGTATCTCTCCTCAGCTCTTAATTATGTTAATTGAAAGCTTATAGTTTCTTATCAAAAGAAGAAATAAGCTTACCTTTGGTTAATCACATACTGATATTGCACCTTTTATGGATGTGAAGCATTTTCTTGTTAGCTTGGATTAATGCCATACAAATTCATAAAGGACAACTTTTAAGGAGTAATGTCTATCCTAAATTTGTATTGGGGTAGTTTTAAAATTCCATGTTCTAAAGCAGTGTTCATTTAATTTTGGGTTTTTTTATTTTATTTTTTAATATAGTATGTTTAGTGGATCAACTTGCATTGGGTGGAAAACATTTTTGTATTAATTTCTTAAATAGATGTTCTACAAGATTTTCAATTGGAAAATCTCACTATTCAATATTATTTGGTCTGTATGCTCTTTGTGGGAGCCAAAGTTTGAGTTAATGGAAGATTAGGAACTGTCATTCCACTGTTGCTCTATAGTAAAATTTTTAAACTTAAAAAGAGTGTCTATGGATCATATGGTGAGAGATAAGCAGTGAATGTGAAATTTTGCATTTTGGATGCTTGAATGGTGTGTAATTCAATAATGGGATTGCTGAAAAATTGATTCAGACAAATAATAGTCTATTGGGTGTGCCCTAAGCAACAATATTTAAAAATATTTACTTGGATTCCAGAATCTTACCATGTGTGCTTAAAGTAGCAGTATATATGGGGATTGCTATAATTTCAAGTTCATCGTAATTTTCTGTCTGTTTGTTACAGGAATGCTAGCAGCAGAAGCTGCATTTGGTGCAGTTCATGAAGGCTTGAATATGGAAACCTATTGGGATAATTTAAAGAATTCATGGGTGTGGGAAGAACTCCGCAGAGCTCGAAACTACCGACCTGTTAGTAAAGCATTTCTCATGTCTTATTGCTTTAACTTTATAAACTATATTTTTTTTAAGATTTGCCACAATTTTGTTTTATTTTGTAATGCTCCAATTTAAGCTCTTTAATTATCTCCTGAGCTTTCCTGTTGAAGGCCGATCTCAAGTAATTACTTCTTGCTTTTCTGATTAGTCATTTCTCAAATGAAACACTTCAGTATAACCATCCTAATTCTTCTTTGGATGGTATGGAACATTTTGCTCATATTACTTTTCATCGAACTCTAGTTAGATGGTCAAAGTAAATTAATACAAAACATATTTTTAGACTGATCTCAGTGGTGACTGAATTTTTGAAAGAGCTAATAAAATTGAATGTTGGTTAATGCCAAATTTCTTTAAATTATAGAACTATTACACTGTTTTCTTTAAGTTAAAATCGCCATCCATCTTAGAAGTCTTTTCCCCTTGTAGGCATTCGAGTATGGTCTTTTTCCTGGTTTGGCAATCAGTGCTTTAGAACAGTAAGATTTTTATCCTCCTCTCACTTTTATTATTGTTGCTGTTGATCAGTATTTCTTTTTTCTGTGTAAAGATTATGCAGTATTCTCATACTTAGTTTTTCAAGTGAAACCTTATTCAGCTTAATTTCGTGCTTGGCAGCTATATACTAAGAGGAAGGTCCCCCTTCACGCTGAAACATGGGAAGCCTGACCATGAAGCAACAGATGTAAGAACACCACCATTTAAGAAATCATGGATTCTTACCTCATAATGACCAATGGATTTTTCTATTTATTCAGTTATAGCAAACATTTGGCTTAGCTAAATTACGTTAGACAAATCTGTTGAATCTATCGATTATTTGTAAGATAACATCAATAATAAATTTTGATGGAAGAAAATTTACTTTAGGGAAAATCAAATAGGGGAAAAAAATTTGAGCTTCCTTTATAGTATGAATGAGCATGATTATGTCAAAAATACAAATTCACATTAACATACATGTCGAGAAACCACAAATCTCAAAGTTTAGGTTTGCAATATTAAGTCAGTAGAAATCGGTTGTCATTTATTTTGTGGTACTCTCACATAGATCACATGACTCAGCAGTGTGAAGCATTATTATGTATTTTTTCATTTTTGCATTTGCAGGTTGCTCGGCTACACTTACCTCTTCAATATCCAAAGCCTGATGGTGTGTTATCTTTTGATGTACCAACCTCTCTGCACAGGTTTTTACAGAACAAACTCTTCTGCACTAGTAATTACTTATCTCTTTGTTGCTAAAATGTCAAAGAAAAGCTGCAAAGGAAATTAGATTTCAGTTAGAAGTTCAAATTTTCATTTATACTTTTAGGCCAGGTGGACCAAGTGGTAGAATATAATTCTTGTTGGTGATTTGTGAAAAGTTCTTAGACTTGTGCATTCTGTTAAATCAAAAAAATGAATGGCTTTAGTTGTATTGAAACCAATGCAAGACCTCAATGAAGGTAAAACTGGATTGCCTTAGAGAAACTAACATCAATCAAGCAAAAAAGAAAAAGAAAAAGAAGAGGAAAAGAGGACTACTCTATTGACGATTGGAATTGTCAATTTCTTCTTTGTTTTGGATGTTCAAAGCAATGATATGTTTATCTTTATTTGCCTATTTAGGAGCAACACAAATCATGAACATGATCAGCCAGCTCATCTTCGCTTAAGGGACCCAAAGATACCAGAACTTGTGAATTTGCCGGAGTATGCTGCACCTGAGTCACAATATTGTCCTGCACGTGTATACGAGTAATGTGTATTTATTATAAGCTTGTGCTTCACATATTATTGACATGGATCAATCTCTGATATGTCTATTTCATCTTAATCTGAAATGAAGGTATGTCCCAAACAATGAGAATCAGCTAAAGTTGCAGGTCAATGCTCAAAACTGCCTGCATTGCAAGGTAATGGATTTCTGCAATTCTAAGAGAAGTCGATGAGATTTCCCCAAATCGGAATCGTTTTCGAAAGCATAATTTCATCATAGCATTTCATGTGTTAGGAATTGTGACATTAGATTGCACATTATAAATAACTTTTTGTTAGCTTGAATGATGTTCAGGCTTGTGACATCAAGGACCCAAAGCAAAATATAGAATGGACGGTGCCAGAGGGAGGTGGTGGTCCAGGCTACTCAGTCATGTAAATATATATAGCAACTGCCTGCCTATTTCATTGTGAAGGCAAATGAAAAAAGAGTTTGTATTTACAATAAGAGCTTTTGACTTTCACAGAAATAAGAAGTCAATCTCAGTGCTTACATGTAAAGATCTCATTGGCATTGCAGCACTAATAAAATTAGTAAAATCTCTGCTCATATATATACATTGGTGGTTCCTGAAGAAAGACTAGTAACACTATGGCATGAATCTTTTCTCAAACAAGTTATGTTTAGAAATTGCTTTTGAAAATCATTAAAATCAATTTAATTTAAATTTTATTAATAAATAAAAACAGCTGAAAAAATATATGAAATATTAGTAAATATTATTTAAAATTGAAATGAAAAAAAGTCCTACTCAACTATTAATATCGAATAGAATACAAGAGACAATAAAAACTAAAGAGTTTGTGGAAACTTTTGAGTAGAATTAATACACAGCGGAGGACAAGATTTAGTGAAGTTTGCTTTTATAATTAGTTAAATTTTACTAATCACCAGTGGGCATATCATTCTTAATTAAATTCATCTATTTTTGAAGATCATAGTCCAAATTAATATGTGTATATTTTTCATCATAAAATATATAAAACTTCTTTTTTGAATTTAAAATTACAATTTACTTTCTAACACCTTTTTCTGGTAATATAATAAAAAAGATATCCTCAAATCAAATAGTGAAAAACGAGTTTTATTATATATATAACTCTAATTTCTTTCTTTTTTAGGTTTTTTTTTTTGACATTTTTAAATAATTGATTTCAATTAGTATGTCTTTAATTATATAGGTTTTTTCTCCTTTGTATATCACTACAGGATGTAATATGGTAAATGTCAAAAGATATATAAATTTAGATGAACAAAATTAAGATATAAAAATGACATGGCTTATTATTAAAAAAAAAAAAAATTGAGATAAAACTTGAGAAGTATAAATATATATATATCTTATTTTAATTTTAGCTTTATGGGTAACTCGTATTAAAAGGACAAAATTAAGTAAATGGACAAGATGAGAACATATTTATTATTTCAATAACATATAATTAAATATTTTCGAGATTTTTCAACCACAATTTTGTACATGTGAATTTAAATTTGAAGTCATCATCATCATCGAGAATTTTAACAAAATCATAAACATCAGAAGAACGACTATATGAATCAAATTCAAAATAAAAATAGAAATCATTTTCGGTTTCACCTTCATCGTCATCTTCATCTTTGTCTTTGTCTTCATGATTAACAAAGATAGGTATTGATAAGAAATCACGTGCCATCCTAGCTACTGTTGGATAAGTTGAAGATTTGTCACGCCACCATTGTAGTATATCCAACCCTTCATCTAAAGGACACTTGGAATCACTATAATAGCGGTTGAGTTCTGACTCTTGAGAGAATGATGACATAGGATTGTTAGTTTCCTTTACATATTCGTTGAAAATGTTTGTAACATCATCAATGATTCCGATAAGGCGTGCACCTACATCATTATCATACATCTCTTCACAGAGTTTTTTTACAATAAAATCCTTTTTGAATCGTGGATCCAAAATTACTCTAGTCACTAAAACCAACATAGAACCGTTCCAAAGTTTATCAATATTTTTCCGGAAATGTGATACAGTCTCACAAATGTAACTATAATCACTTCTTTCCAATTGATCCAATTTCGAAAAAATCGGACATATCATCGGGAAATACTCATTTGCGGTTTTATGTCTAAGATAGATCAAGAAGTTACCGACATCATCTCCCAAATCATTTAACGCTTTCTGACAGTCCAAAACCTTATTCAATTTAGTTGAAATAGCTGCTTTCTCCCAATGGCTTCCGAACGCAGCGAAACGGATATAACGATGAATTCTTTGGAATAAAGAAGAAATCGAAGGACAAATCGGAGTGAAGGAAAGTAAACCTTGTTCATTCAACCAATTGCAAATATTCTCTTCTTTCTTCTCATCAAAAGCTCTAACTGCTATCGCAGAAATTTTTTTGTCTATGTGCCAATCCACAAGCGAAGACTTCACAATTTCAAGTAAACTATCATTGTAATGTCCAAAACAAATAGTCCAATTTTTCAACTCCCAACTATCATCAATAAACCAGATTTTCATTACCAAACTGCCATAGCGAGCAACCTGAATTGTCATGTTAAATGGACATGGGAGTTTATCTAAATATCCACGAAGCTTATCCTTCTCTTGTTGGTAAACATCAACTATCTCATCCTTTATGCCTTCTAGCCCATACTTAATAATCTTTCGCACCAAATCAGAGCCATTTATTTCTGGATCAATCACTGTTTTCTCTTTTGCTTTATTAGCATCTCCACCTGGATTTCTCAAAACTGGGCAGCTGTTCAAATGATTTTTGAGGTGCGTGGTTCCGCTCTTACTTGATCCTACAAACTTTCCCTTACAGTGATTACACTGAGCCCATTCCTTCCCATCTTTGCCTACAGAGTATGTGAAGTCTTCCCAAACCTTTGACCGCCTTTTCCGTTTAGAACATGATGAATTCTCCACATTTGTATTCATCACCATTTCAATCTCTTTATTTTGTTCTCTTATTTGGGTGATTTCCTGTTAATATACAAATAGCTCTATCACCTAATAATTAAACAATAAAAGGCAAATTTAACTAACCTGGACGAGACAGAATGAATACAAATATTTTAGGCGACCAAGTCTATTTCTATAGTTTACTAGTGAATAACTTTGCAGAAGAAAGAGATGAACAAAGAAAGTTTTAAGAAAAGAAATTCCAAAAATGATTCATTTGTTTTAGTTTGAAAATATACAATATGACAACTCACTGATCCTTCCATCAATCGTTGTAAGCTAAAGATGAACAGTTGAGATTAACTATTATAGCACAGGTTATTTTAGATTTCCTCTTATTAATAGGTATAAGAGAGAGTTACCTGCGCATGATGCAGGTCTGTTGATACACGTGCTTCTTCCCGTTGCGCTAAAGATTCAATTTCCTATAAATTTTAATGATAAAAAACATGTAATATCATAAATTATTTACTTCACCAAAACCATCAAAACAAAGAACCCAAATCTAACTCTAATTTACCTTTTGTATGACGGTAAAATAACCACATGAACCATTTTTTTTATTTTATTTTCAAGATTCACATAAGCTAATTCTTTATAGGAAGAATATCATACAACAGTAAAACGACAATCACCCAAAAAAAACAACTGAAGACGAATAAACATGTTAATATGTAACGTCACCTTTATTTGTGGTTGAAGAGATTGAAGATAGGTGATGATTTCATCAAATAATCCAGCCTTTTCTGGAGTCGAGTTGTACCAGTTTGCTAAATTCTGCAAACGCTTCATTCCCTCACTGATTGTTTCCCTTCCCACCTACATAAAAGTACACAGATATGAGATATCAAAACCAGGCCGCCACCCCCCAATATTGAAATGGAATTAAAGATAAGAAAAACAAATACCTACCTGAAAATACAGATGAGGATCAAATTCCATGGTTCTTGCTTCCATATCTTACCTTACAAATGAGCCTAATTAATTTAGTAGGTAAGCTTTTGAATGAGAAACACTGAGCCTCCTTTCCGTGAATATATAGCAATTTTGGGTATGGAAATATTACATACTGGGGGAGGTAGACTGGTAGTTGTAACTTAAATTCGAACCATTAAATCCGACTTACGTTAACATCAGCGTACGGAAAATTTTATTTCCATGTCGGTACACGCGTATTTGACATGAACGTCACGCATAAGGACTTTATTTGCCAAAGGCCTAAAACTGCATTTAACTAAAAGGGAAATTACTTGTTGAATCATGAAGTTTATTGGATAACTCTAGGCCCAAAATTTTCCAGTTTGGGCTCTGTGCAACGTTGGTCCATTTTGATGGGCTTGATTGATGATCAATAGTATCCGGGCTTCTGTTACCCAATAAATTTCAACAGAAGCCCAGCCTAGCCCATTGCACCCCTAAATTTTGCTTGTGGTTCAACACCTACAATGAAAAATGGTCCCTTCCATGAACCAAATCTCTCAAAGCTCCAAGGATTGAAACCATGTGCCTCTTCAATAACATCTGAACAATTGTTAAAAGAATAACTTGTTTCAATTGATTTACTACCTGCAACTCCACTAGGATTGGTTTTACTTGGGCATCTTTCTAAATCATTTTTCAGATCTGTGGTTCCACTTTTGCATTTGGATTCATTGTTTCATTTTCTTAGTTTGGAGTAGATCCACAACGAGCATTTTGTTCTATGATGGGAGAGATTTCCTCTCAACACCTTATAAGCAATAAAAAGACGAGATGATCAACAGGGAAACATTGAGCTGAATAGGGGTGAATCTTAGAAACATTTAAGACAATCACGATCATAGTCAAGAAGCTTTAAGGAATACTGATTAAATCTCAAAGGATCGCATTGTCTTTCTTTCTTTAGATGCAGAACAAAACACATTAATTATAGTCTTTATTTGATAGTTTTTTCATTAGTGAGACATAGAACAATTGTACATATCTCTGCCTTTGCCAAGTCCTGTTACAACTATGCTTCTTGTTTGCTTTCTTACTCTAACCCAAATGAAGAAGATCCCAAAGTACAGCTTTTAGTGACTAGCATGGTACAAAATTGTTATGACTAAGAAACCAAAGGCTGATGTGGAGTTGCGTGACGAAACGTGGCCTGCTCCCGTCAGAACGGTAAGCGCACGTCAGGCTTGCCAAACGCCCTGGTGCTCCCACGTGTCCGCTAACCTGCTCCAAATCGCATGAAATCGGCTTGGAAAATGGGTAATGGGACGTAAAATCAGATTAGGTCCTGACAATCACACCAACCCAAGGATTTAGTGATGATTACGTACATTTAACTGGGTATAAGAAGAGGAAGACCCCTTCATTAAGGGGATTCGACAAATTTTTACACAAAAACTCTCTCTCTCACGCTTTTGTATCTATTTCCCAACTTTTTGTAAGTCAGTCCGCTATTGCGACCTGACCCACACTATCAATATCAATACAACTTAATGGACGTAGGACTTGCTACCTTAGCATCCGAACCACTTTAAAAGCTCTCATAACATTTATTTCGCTTTCTATATTCATTATCACGTGTGCTTTGTGACCAATCAACACTACGCACGTGACAATTAGTTGGTGCCAAAATCCAGCATCAACAGTTTGACGCTAGAATGAGGGCTTGATTGAGTGTCTACCCTTCATCAGGAGAATCTTTGACCTACTGGTCCTACAACAGCAAATGGCCCGCCAATATGAGCCAGAGCAAGCTAATCAGTGTACTGAAGAAGTTCCAGTTTCACAAAATGCTGCGGGGGATATCCCGGCAGCTTCACAACTTGACCCTGCCATCAGAAACTACCTGGAGAGGTTCGACAATACTCTCTAGACGGTCAACCAAAGGTTGGACCGTTTGGACCAAGGCATGTCATCTACCACAGCTAGGGCGGTGCAACCGCCAAAGACGCCTACAGGTAGCGCGAAAGCTCGGCAAAGTGCAATAACCCGTGCCGCGAGCACTACAGCGCGTAGACGTAAGGGCAAGCAAGTGGCAAAAGGTCAGCCTACGGGCCCCCGGGGACCAGCGAGCACAAAAGGTGCCCCGAGCAGGGTATCGGCAAAGCTGAGACTCGGCGAAAAAGTGAATCCTGAGCAGTCCCATGCCACGTCGCAGGCGAACCCAAGCAAAGATGCCATGCGTGATTCTTATCGCCGCCAGCAAAACGATCCCGATCGTTATCATGCGGGTGGCCCCCACACCTCGCGGGGTGGTTCGTACCACCGCGAGCGTCGTGAGAATGCCCCACACGATCCATCGCCTTCGCACGCCTCTAGCCAGCGTGTGTCGAGTGCGACCGAAAATGTCGACCGAGGCGAGGAGAAATCCGACCTCCGGACCTTCCTGAACCGTAATCGAGAAGGCTGGACTCACACGGGTGAAAGCAATCCCCAATTGGCTCCGTTACCACAAATTGATGAGCTACAGCGAGCTCTGGACAGGTTAAGGGAGCAGTAAAATGAACAGGCGCAAGTCGCCTCTACATCCCCTTTTTCTCCCGAAGTGCTAGCTGCTCCACTTCCACCAGGGTTCAGAATACCAGATATGCGGCCGTTTGATGGGAACTATGATCGGCAGGTTCACTTATATGAGTTCAACGACCTGATGGAGCTCCACCAGGTTTCGGACCTTGCAAAATGCCATTGTTTGGCTGTGACGCTGACTTCTCACGCCAAGCGGTGGTTAAGGTCGCTCCCGGCGGGATCGATCAGTTCGTGGCCTCAGATGAGCACGACGTTCCTGCGGCATTTCCAAGCCAATCAGAAGTTTTCGATGCCTTTGAGCTACCTCAGCAACATAAGGCAAGAAAGAGACGAATCCCTGCAATCTTACATTGACTGTTTCCACCGGGAACTCAACAAGGTGGCCCACTCTCCGAAGAGTCCATCCGGACACTTATAATAGCTGGAGTTCGCCCGCAAACCGACCTGTGGAAAGAATTGCAGGCTGAGGATGATATTTCCCTCACCAGATTCTACAACCTGGCAGAAAAGTATCTCCGAATAGAGAATTCATTGGCGGCACTCCGCCGTCGCTATCACGGCACTTCCATCAGTATGTCTGGTCAGGGAGATAATAGGAGAGCTGATCGCAAAGGAGACATTGACGATCAGCGAAAAATGAAGAAACCTCGCTATGAGCAGAAAAAGTCTTATGCTCCTGTTCCTCGTCGCGACCGCGACAAGACTCAATACACTCCGCTGAACTTGTCCATATCTGCAATCCTCGACAAATCCGAGGAGGCCAGCTTGCTCAGTGAGCCCGAACCAATGAAAACTCCTGCTACGGCCAGAAACAGCAAAAAATACTACCATTACCACCGGGATAACGGGCATCACACTGATGAATGCCGAGCTCTAAAGCAGGCTATCGAAGAGCTCATCAAGAAGGGGCACTTCAAGGAGTACATTGATGACTCCCCAAAAGAAAACCAAGGGGAGCAAAAGAAAAAGCGTCATGATCGCAGCGAGTACAGCAGTGTGAACATAATTTTTGGAGGTCCGCACCTCGTGGGAAACACGCGAGGAGCGCAGGAAAGGTATGTTCGCTAAGCGCATCACGACCCGATCAGGGTGATGAACACTTTGCAGCGACCTCAAAAAGCCAGAAAGGAGGAACTGATCACCTTCTGTGAGAAGGAGGCAGCTCGCTTACACCATCCTCATGAGGATGCTCTAGTGATCACGCCCCTGATAGGGTGTCATAATGTCTGCAGAATGCTTGTAGACAACGGAAGCGCTGTGAACATCCTGTTCAAGTCCGTTTTCGATAGAATAAACCTAGTCGAGGCCGACCTGAAGCCAGCCTCGATGCCTCTGTACGGTTTTACAGGGGATCACCTGATCCCCAAAGGAACGATCCAGCTACCAGTCACGCTCGGCGACTACGACGAGGTGACTAGGGTTACTGAATTTTTGGTCGTGGACTGCCCATCGGCCTTTAATGGAATCTTGGGACGACCTCTGCTGAGAACCTTCAGGGCAGTCACTTCCATTTATCATCTCAAGATGAAGTTCCCCACTCTAACGGGGATAGGCAAAGTAAGCGGATCGTAGAGCGCATCTCGCGAATGCTATGTAAAAGCGGTCCAGATGGCAGATAAGGGAAAGGGCATTTCGCGATGTGTGCCCCGCCAGGCTATGGCGATCAGTCGCATCGAGCCACGGCCTGGTCCAGCGGAGGATAACATAGATCCGTGAATCTAAGAAATTCCCTCCAGCGGCCCGGTTGAGGATCCGTCCGAGGTTTCGGTTGATCCAAAAGAGCCGAGCCGAGTGTTACGGATTAGAAGCTGTCTCAACCCACAGCTCGCTTCCAAGCTGGTAAACTTCTTAAAGGAGAGCATTGACGTGTTTGCCTGGTCGCACGCAGATATGGTCGGGATCAGCCTGGACATTATTTGCCATTCATTGAATGTCAACAGTGAAGCCAAGCCAGTTCGCCAAAAAAGAAGGGCGATGGATCCGGAGCGATACGCCGCACTAAAAACAGAAATGGAGAACCTTCTCCGAAATGGATCCATTCGTGAGGCTCTCTACCCGATCTGGGTTGCCAACTCGGTCCTGGTAAAGAAGCCAAATGGCAAGTGGCGGACCTGCGTAGACTTCAGCGACCTCAACAAAGCTTGCCCGAAAGACAACTTCCCCCTGCCGAGAGTCGACCAGCTCGTTGATGCCACCTCGGGGCATGAGCTGTTAAGCTTCATGGATGCATACTCGGGATACAATCAAATCCCGATGTATAGACCAGATGAGGAGCATACGACATTCATTACGGACCGGGGGCTATACTGTTACAAAGTCATGCCCTTCGGCCTCAAGAATGCAGGTGCGACCTATCAGAGGTTGGTCAATCGAATGTTCTCTGACCAGATCGGGAGGACAATAGAGGTCTATGTGGATGACATGCTGGTCAAATCCCAGGTCGCCTTAGAACATATTGCGCATCTCGCAGAGATGTTTGACATACTCCGACTCTATAGAATGAAGCTGAACCCTCTCAAATGTTCATTCGGGGTATCG